AGTTGTTACTGTCCCAGCTGCATCAGTCAGCACGTCACAACAGTAGAAACAGGACATTTAGACATGAACTGGGCATGTTTAGTCTTGAGTAAAGAAGAGTGAGGGGTAATCTGATAACCATCTTCAAATATGCTCAGGGCTGCTTTAAAGAGGACAATGATCAATGGTTCTCCATGTCCACAGAAAGTAGGACAATAAGTAATCAGCTTAGTCTGCAGCAAGGGAGATTTAGATTACATAGTAGGGGAGGAAATTCAGATTATAAGAATAGGAAGCCTATTCTAGCACTTAACAAGGGGCATTGTGGAATCTCCATCATTGTCCAACTCTTCTTAAAAATCTCCTAACAACTATCAAGGATGGTACTTGGTCTTTTCTCAATGTAGGAGGCTAGAATAGATCTCTTGATGTTCCTTCCAACCCTACATTTCTATTATTCTCTAATAAGTCTGTGTAGAGCTTTATATTTGTTACATTTTATTCAATTAAAACTAGATGCTCAGATGACATATGTTTTATCCATCCATATGTTTCCTATCATTTTTATAACAGAATTGAAGTTACTGCAACCTGCTAACTCAAAAAAGAGTATCTGAAGCATCACTAAAGATTCAACTGTCTCATGAATCTGCTGGAGCCTCTCTCTAACAACTTCCCACCACCAAAGCCTTTCCCTTTTGCCTTTCATGGAAGTTGGGAGGTAATGGGACACTGCACTGCTCAAAACAGCAGTGTAGATGTGGGAGTTTGGGAAGCATGGTTTGGCCATGGAAAGAATCATGTAGGACACATACTAAAGATGTCAAGTACCGGTTAATTGAACAGTCGAGTAACCTCATGACATTTTATCAGTTAGTTGACTATTCTATAATCCCTAGGGGCCAGCAGCTACTGTGGGAGGTAATGGGACACTGCACTGCTCAAAACAGCAGTGTAGATGTGGGAGTTTGGGAAGCATGGTTTGGCCATGGAAAGAATCATGTAGGACACATACTAAAGATGTCAAGTACCGGTTAATTGAACAGTCGAGTAACCTCATGACATTTTATCAGTTAGTTGACTATTCTATAATCCCTAGGGGCCAGCAGCTACTGTATCAGAGGCAGCAGCGAGGGGTGCCGGGTGGTAGCTGGTCTGCAAGGGGGAGCCAGTTTAAAAACCAGCTCCCCTTGCAGACCAGCTGCTGCTCCTGAGAAAGAGGCAGCAGTGTAGGGTGGCAGCAGTCCCTGTCTAGGCTAGGTCTGAGCTCCCAGACCCGGTACAAGCCAGAACTGAGCTGAGCTGCCTGCCCACCTGGATCTTAAAATACTTGAAAAGCAGTGCTACAGCAGGGGTAGGTCCTGGACCTGTCGCAAGCCAGGACTGAGCCAGGCTGCTGGCCAGCCTACTAAAAAATTTATTGGCAGCGAAGGAAGGAAAATGCATGTCCAGGCAGTCCCCGGGTTACGTACAAGATAAGGACTGTAGGTTTGTTCTTAATTTGAATCTGTATGTAAGTCAGAACTGGGGTGCAGATTCAGCCGCTGCTGAAACTGACCAGCGGCTGACTACAGGAAGCCCGAGGCACAGTTGCTCTGCCCCGGGCTTCCTTAGCACTCAGGGAGTTGGTGCAACCAAGCAGCCTCTTAATTCAGCTTCCAATTCTAAATGGAACTTGAGAGCACTCAGTCTGCACATAGCAGATGCATGCAATGTGCATCAGTGGGCTGTCAAAGAGGCTTTGAGGACATCTCTCTCAGGTTCTGTAGCGCTCAGCAGAAGCACTCCTGCAGCAGCACCATCCAGTCAATTGTGTTTAGTCCTCTGTTGTGCTTGAGCGTGGACTGGTGACATTATACACTGTTAAAACAGGCGCCTGTTCAATCAGACAGAATATATCATTAACGGTGACCTGTAAAGCTTTTCTCTAGCAACCTTCTAATAGCATATAGGTTTTTAAAACCCACTAATAAATGAAGGCCAAAATAAAAAAGACCAGTATTTTTTTTTCTGTCTTTGGATTCTGCTGGAATTTCTTTTTTGGCTCCTTCCCTCCTCCCCCAGGCAGCTTATGTAAACTCCTGCTCTATAAAATAGTGACATTACAAAGCCTGTGAACATGTTCATGGCTGGCTTTTAACTGATATTCATAGGCTTTGAGGGTTTTTCCGTCCCCCACTCTCTGTGTTGGGAGACAATAGCATCTGTAACCAAGGCAATGTAACAATGTATAAGTGCAGAGAGTGTGAAAGAAAAAGGAGTATGCTATTTGCATATGTTTTTGGCATGTGAATAACAGAGAGGTCCGCAGTGGGCAAATCTCTTACATCGGTTTTTCTGAGGATACTATCTTTACTGTAAATACAGGCAGTCCCCGATTTACGCGGATCCGACTTATGTCAGATCCGCAGTTACGAACGGGGATTTTCTCGCCCTGGACGACGGGAGCGGCGGGATGCCCGGTCCCGCTGCCCGCGTCCTCCGGGGTGAGAAAAGCCCCGTTCGTAAGTACGGATCCGACATAAGTCAGATCTGCGTAACGCAGGGACTGCCTGTAGTCTATATCATTATCCCATAATCTTTTGCTTATCAGTTAATCGACTATACTAGTACATATCTTAAGGTTCTGATGTGTCTGCTCATCAAAGCTGTATCTCACCTTCTACACCAGGGGTTCTCAACATGTTTTCCTTCTGAGGCCTTACCTCTCAATATACTACAAAAAATGTCACTGCACACCTGTACCCCAACAGCTGTGTTTCCGTATAACCAATCAATTGAAAGCCAGAGCTGGTGTTGGGGGTACCAAGCATCCAAGGCTCTACAAAAGCTAAATTATTTGGGCTTTGGCTTCAGATCTCAGCAGCAGGGTCCAAGCTTTGGCTTTCTATCCAATAGCTCTCTGGTTTATTTTGTTGGACCTCCTGAAACTGGCTCACGGCCCTCCGAAGAGGTCCCATTGTTGAGAATCATTGTTCTTTACCACTGTTTATAGACACGCTACTTGGACATGCAATATCTGTACCCTACAACCACCACATATGTAGACCTACCCATTGTTTTAGTTCTGAAGAATGTGTTGACAACATACCTCACTGGAAGTAGCAGGTGGACAATAGCAAATTTACACTAGCAAATAATTCTAAAGGTTGTACTGTGACTTTACTCCAGACCCTTAAATGATTACACTTTACTATAATATCTTGAGCACAACAGAGTTTAACTAAAAGCTGTAGTTTCCACCACGATAGTACGAGATTAATATACACAGATTGATTTAACAGAGATTCAGCATTAAGAAAATATTGCTTTTATATAAATTGATTTGCAGCATAATACTTGAGATACAATATTTAAATAGCAATGTTACACCAAAGATTAGTTTGACAAACAGACTTTGAAATACATTATTACCTTTCAACAACTATACCATGCAACTACAGACAACACCCTGTAGGTGCATACCAGGAAAACAAGGAATGCACTTTTATAGAATCACCTAACAATTGCTGGCAGGCAGTATGAGAGTCAATGACAGCTGTATTCTCAAAATTAACAAATCACATATGGGGTAACTCACATCTGGTGTTTAAGCAGAAGGTAAATCACAAAACTTGTTTTGCTATTGTACCATACATAGTCCATTTATAAAGATGAAATAAAAGTTGTACACATCAAATGTCGAAATAAAAAAAAGGTTTAGAAAACAGAAATTTCCCCTAAAACAAGTCTTGCAGTTATTTTTATGTCAATATTATTTCTGCTACTTTGGTTCTAGAGTGGCCATGATCACTAAAAAAAAATTAAAAACAGCATGTAAGAAATATTAAAGCCTCATGCTGCATTTTCTACTTGCTATGCTTTACTCTTGTTGATACCTTCAAAGGAATCCAGTGGGTTTCCTTTAAAACTGAAATATTTGCTAGAAATGTGAAAATCCAACATCACAAAGCAAACTAAAACATCTAATTACTATATTTATTTCTGATTCCAAAACACAAAACTGAATGAAACAAAATCATTCATAGACACATGAATAATAGATCTAGAAGGACTTCCTACATGCTTAAGATACAAGTACAGATTACTTTGGGCTATTACATTTTATAATTATTGTAGCCACACGTTAAACTGGCACAGAGGGATGGATGTTTTGGTGGCTGGAGGAGGCGGAGGGCTACATGGTGTTGGGATTGCTGTTTGGAGGTCTTTTGCTCACAGGCAACAGCGGAACAATGGTAGCAATCTTTCAAATTGGCAGCTATTTCCAGTGAGTATGATTGAATCTTCAAAAGGCAAATCGCATCTAGCTCCATCATCCATTCCCACCTCTGGCCTCTACAGTCCTCATTACATAAATTAAGCGGAGGTGGCTGGGTCAGGGTAGTAGCTAGCGTCTTGTGACAACCAACGAACGCCCCCCCATCAATTACTGACCCCAACAATGGAAAGGTCCCGCCCCGTGAGTGAGGCTCTGCACTGGGGTCGGGGAGACATTTCGCTGCTAAAAGTGCAAAACCACCCTCACCCCGCAGCCAGAGGCGAGGAACTGACACACCTGTCCCTGCAACAGCCGGAGGAGGCTCGGCGCTCACCCCCCACCCACACACCAGCTGCAGCCAGCTAGAGAGGGACCCCACTGGCTCACCCCATTGCTCCCTTCACCCCAGGGCAGATGGGGGGCACCCTGAGGGGGGAAGGATGGCGAAGGTGTCACTCTGGGTGGGGATGGAAGGATGGCGGGGGCCGATGAAGGGCCGCTGCCCTCCCCGCGGTGGGCGCACTCGGCGCTCACCCCCCACCCACACACCAGCTGCAGCCAGCTAGAGAGGGACCCCACTGGCTCACCCCATTGCTCCCTTCACCCCAGGGCAGATGGGGGGCACCCTGAGGGGGGAAGGATGGCGAAGGTGTCACTCTGGGTGGGGATGGAAGGATGGCGGGGGCCGATGAAGGGCCGCTGCCCTCCCCGCGGTGGGCGCAGGTCACGGCGGAGGAGGCGCAGACTGCGGGGCACTTACTCTCGCCGCTCAGCGCGCTGCTCCCCTCACACCTTCATGCCGCCGACCAGCCCCGCCCTCTCAGCGCCCCCGAGGCTCGCGCTGCTCCCTGCTCGCTACGAATCCGAAGTTCAAACGGCTCCTTCCAACCGCCTCACCCTGCTGGAGAGACTCGCTGTGGAGGGGAAGGACCCGAACCCGGCGCGAGCTGGGGGGCGGCGGCGGCGGCGCGGAGCTCCCCAAAGGCTTCACAATAGACACAGAGCGGCGCGTGTGTGTGCGCGTGGGAGGAGGGGCTTCTCCCCGGCCCGGACACACTCGCCAAGCGTGTGGCGGCTGTTTACTCAACACCTGACCGGCCGTCGCCGCCTCCCCTAGGAACTAGGTGAATGCCTCCCCCAAAATCCGTGACATTGAGTATTAGGGAGCCCCGATTTCTCTATACACCCCCTCAAAATGGCAGGTGGTATAGTCCAGTTCGTTCGCTATTCGAGCTGGGGGGGAGGGGCCGAAGGCATTGTGACGTTTTCTAAAGCCGGCTTCGGGCAGCCAATGGGAATGGGAAAGGAGTGGTTAGACGGAGAGTGGGTGGAGCTGCTTGTTGCTCCAAAGAGAGTGGGAGGGGCTGTTTCCATCGAGTGTCTCCTGCTGTACTTAGCGCAGCGTGGTTAGTGCGCAGGTTAGTGCGCAGATGCATGGTTTCTGTTCGAGGGTCCTGGCGGTACGCAGAACTCTCTGAATATGTGCATGTATCGGTTTCCTCGTGTATGAAATAGGGCAGTTAAAAGTTACTTATCTGACAGAATAGTAATAGAAATGTAGCGGTGTTAGTCTGGTGTAGCTGAAGCAAAATGCAGGACTATGTAGCACTTTAAAGACTAACAAGATGGTTTATTAGATGATGAGCTTTCCTGGGCCAGACCCACTTCCTCAGATCAAATAATGGAAGAAAATAGTCACAACCATATATACCAAAGGATACAATTTAAAAAAATGAACACATATGAAAAGGACAAATCACATTTCAGAACAGGGGGGGGAGGAAGGTAAGTGTCTGTGAGTTAATGATATTAGAGGTGGGGAAAGGTAGCTATCTTTGTAATGGGTAAAGTAGTTGGGGTCGAATTTTAGCATGAATGACAGTTCAGAGGATTCCCTTTCAAGTGCAGATGTAAAAGGTCTTTGTAGCAGAATGTAGGTAGATAAGTCGTTGAGATAGTGTCCTTTCTGGTTGAAATGGCAAGAAATTGTTTTTTCTTTGCGATCCTGTCTGATATCTGTTTTGTTGGCGTTAATCCTTTCGCGAAGAGTCTGAGACATTTGTCCAATGTACATAGCAGATGGACACTTTCGGCACATGATAGCATAAATTATATTTCTGGATGCGCAGGAATATGTATTCTTGATCTTATAACTCACTTGGTTAGGTCCAATAATGGTATCAGCAGATATCACCCTTACCTGACGGAGAGGGTGAAGTCCATGTGTGTGAGAAGAAGTGACAATGCACGCATTGTTATCAACTGCATAAAGTTCATATTGAAACCAACAAAGCAATTGATGGATTACAACAATCAGGTTGACATTAGTGCTGCCTTGGACAGTAGAAGATGTTGGTTGCAGAAGAAGCCAACCTGTGGTGATTCATAGGTTTCAAGACCTTATTTCCAACACATTAATTTCCAATCTGAATTTGTCTAGTTTCCGTGTTGGCTGATCACTTACCGGTATATCATTTTCTACTAGAGTGAATGCAATCCAGCGGTTGGAGGTTGAAATTAGGCAAATTGTGTTTTCGGTTTTCCTAGATGCGTTGGAATAAAGGGAAGCAGAAGTGTAGAGTTCATATTATGGCAATATTTTGTTTATAATTTACAGATAAAATATTGAACCAAGCATCTAAAACCTTGATTCAAGGTTGTTTTTTTTGGGGGGGGGGGAGTTTAAGCACACATGTGAGTAACGGGTAGAATCCTGCAAATTCTTGGATATCTGCTTTATATCCACAGATGTGAATGCAGATTCCGTGGTTCATTTTTGCAGATACAAATACAGATTTTGTATCCATGAAGGGTTCTCTGGCTATGGGACCAGCTCCGTAGCACAAACAATGTTTGGAAAATCAGTATCTATTGAAAGAGCTTATGCTTACTGTGTATCTACCACTACAGTACCTTCCATGGATGATTAGCAGTACCATGCCATCCTGGTTCATTAGTCTTATTCTCAAGATCTTTTTAGTTGTGGGGGTTTTAAAATGTAATTCTTTAAGTATTTATTTCACATTCGACCTGTCCTGCTACGGCGCGTTGCACGCTGGGATTTGCAGTCCTTCCTGTGAGTCCTGAAAGATTAACCCTATTTCAGCACCTTGGGAAGGGAACTCTGCTTCCCAAAATCATGTTTCGTAAAAGACGCAGAAAATTATAAGTATTTTATGTTAAAAACTCGCATTTACGTAATTTCCATTCAGTCGCAACAAAGCGCAAATCAATCGGATCAGAGGAGCTTATGTAACTGGCAGGACGCGTTTGTTCCGGGTGCTCCCGCGGTTCCTCCTCGCGAAGATGTCGGCAGCTATCGCCGCGCTCGCCTCCTACGGCGGCTCCGCCTCGGGCTCCGACTCGGACACCGAGGGAAGCTCCCGCCGCCCGGCGCTGGTGGCCAGCCGGGACGCGGTGCTGCACCTCGCTTCGCCGCCCCCTGGCCCGCAGGCCTTGGCGGTGGACGCGGCCCCGGAGGTGGCTGTGAAGGTAGGAGGGAGAGGAAGGGCCTGGGCTGGGACGGGCCGATCCCTTCCAACCCCCTGCGCCGCGCTACTGGGCCGGTGCCAGGCGGGGGACAGCTGCGCGGGGAGGGTTGCCCCTTATTGTGTGTCTCGCTTGGGCGCTTCAGGGGAGGCCGCCTGCGGCCTTGGCGCCCTCAGCTGCGCCACTGGGGGCTCGGGGTGGAGGCTCAGGTTACAGGTGGCAGGGGCTCGGTCCGGAGCGCGCTAATATCTCGGTACCCGACCCCTTGAGTTGCAGGCAGGTGTGGGGGTGGATCTTTCTCTCAGTTCTCTTCTGCTGTGGCACCTTCTTAACCAGATTGAAGTCTTAGGCCTTGTCGCTGAGCTTCCAAATCAGGTCTTGCACCGTTCAGATCGCTTTCGGGAGAAAGGTGCCTACGATGTGATATGTGCATACTGGTGAAAGGGGGAGAATCCGCTTCTCGTGTTACCCAAGGGCTACGTCTAGACTGGCATGAATTTCCGGAAATGCTTTTAACGGAAAAGTTTTCCGTTAAAAGCATTTTCGGAAAAGCGCGTCTAGATTGGCACGGACGCTTTTCCACAAAAGCACTTTTTGCGGAAAAGCGTCTGCGGCCAATCTAGACGTGCTTTTCCGCAAAAAAGCCCCGATCGCCATTTTCGCAGTCGGGGCTTTTTTGTGGAAAACAAATCTCTGCTGTCTACATTGGCCCTTTTGCGCAAAAGTTTTTCGGAAAAAGACTTTTGCCCGAATGGGAGCAGCATAGTATTTCCGCAAAAGCACTGACAATCTTACATGAGATCGTCAGTGCTTTTGCGGAAATTCAAGCGGCCAGTGTAGACAGCTGGCAAGTTTTTCTGCAAAAGCAGATGATTTTGTAGAAAAACTTGCCAGTCTAGACACAGCCATGCTGTTCCCCCTTCCCATGCTGGGGAAGGGTGTTTGAGATTAATGCGCTAATGCTGACCTTCCCACTCTCCCACGTGATGGGATCGTGCTAACAGGTGTCTTCAATCCACTGTTCAGCTCACCACTCTTAGCAGCATGCTTTTGGGGTAGGAGAAAGGTGAATAACATCAGAGTGAGGCTCAGACTTTTAGGATGTTGTCCTCTTCCCTTCTCATGCCCCTTAACCCTCCCTCCATTTTGTATACACACTTCAAATTGTAGGTATCTTACCCCATTTCCTATCTAATAGTTTCAAGCTTTGATTTAGAGAATTGATTATAGGATTCAGAATCTTAATTTGATATTAGAGGACTGTACCCCCTGCTTGCTATGCTCACCAACCCCACTCTCTCTGGCGGGAGGTAGCCTCAGTTCCCTCCTCCCCCCCCCCCCAGCTGCCTGGCAGGGTCAAAGCCTTGCCAGCCCTAGCTCTCCCCCATCCATGGGGGTTTGCCAGCTCTGGCACTCTTCCCTTGGCTGTGGGGAAGGGGGGAAGCAGTGCTCCCCTTGTGCTCTCCCCCTGGCTGCCAACGGGTGAGGGGGTGCTGCTCTGAGGCTTCGCTGGGCCCTGCACTCCTCTCCTGGTCGCCAGAGGGGATGGGGGGTTGCTCCAAGGCCTCAACAGACCCTGTGCTCTTCCCCTCAGCCATCGAGCACTGGGGAGGTGGGAGGCCATGGCGCACAACCCGGTATTGGGGAAGAGGGGGAGGAGACAGGCGGGACTCCAGAGTGACATGGTGATGTCACTCTGTTGTCCTACAGGAAAAGATTTTTATAGAGAGAGATGGGTCCCTGCTGTTTAGCCTCTACATTTGTTTGTTTTGATGTCTCCCTATTATCTTTATGTCTTTATAGCTTTCCCAGGTAGCAGTAGGATGAAATTGACATAATTCTTGATGATTCAATTCCTGCCTAGAGTGCTGTGAATAGCACCAGTGAAGTCTGATCAGTGCTTTATATGTTTCACTTTAGTATTTCTTGGCAAACCTGTGAGTAACAGAAGCATGATTTTGTTTTGTAAGCTCAGAAAGACAAGACTGCATTGGTTCACTTTTAGAAAATTATCTTCAGAACTATAAAATATGGAAGGTTAGTAACCAATTTAGTATTCAATTAAAGATGAATGTGCTACCACAGCTGCTCATCTGACACTTATCTGTGCATTCTGTGATGCCTGGCCCTCCACCAAACATTTTGGAGCTTCTAATCTTTCTGGGATGTTAGTGTATAGAGTTTGACAGGAGTATTAGTTAACATCTGTAAAGTGCTTTAAACAGGTATGATAAATAGCAAGTAGCAGTGATAATGCATTGAGGCCCAGCAGAGTCTTACCTACATTTAAAGGTCATGCCTGCAGTACCAGTTTCAAAAGCCTGAGCCACTGGGCTGTGTCTACACTGGGCCACTTATTCCGGAAAATCAGCCGCTTTTCCGGAATAAGCTGCGAGCTGTCTACACTGGCCCTTGAATTTCCGGAAAAGCAACGACGCTCCACTGTACAAAACCAGCCGCTATTCCGGAAAAGCTATTCTGCTCCTGCTCGGGCATAAGTACTTATTCCGGAACACTGTTCCGGAAAAGAGCCAGTGTAGACAGCCCAGTAGACTTTTCCGGAAAAAAGCCCCGATCGCGAAAATGACGATCCGGGCTCTTTTCCGGAAAAGCGCGTCTACATTGGCCACAGATG